GGGGGGCGCTGCCGGCCCCGGGGGGGTGGGGGAGCTATAGGGGGGGGAAACCCAGCGCGCGGAGCCGGGCCAGGTGAGAGGCGCGTGCGCTCAGGGTTGGGGAGCTGGGGGGGGCGTGCCGCGGAGCCCCGCGTGGGAGGGGGCGTGCACGCGGTGTGCGGACGACGAGGGGGAAGACGTGAACAGGGAGGTCAGTGGAATGAGGCCCGGGGTGCAGGAGGCGGGGTGAGCAGCGCCGGCTCTCCAGGGCCACCCCGGAGTACAGAGACCAGGGTGTCTCCGTTTCTCCATCTTTCCGCGGGCGCGCGGGTTCGCCCCAGCGTTGCAGGCCGCCGGACTCGGGGGGTGTGGACGCCGCTGCCCCGCCCCCGGGAACCACGCCTCCCTCCGAACAGGGACCGCGCCTCCCCAGGCTTGGGGAAACTGAGGAAGAGGCGTGGAGACTGGGAAAGCTGATGCCGCGGGGCGGGGGAGGGGGGGATGCACTAGAGTCTTGGCATTGGCTAGCCGGAGACCTTTGTCTCTGACCATTTTCCTTCCCACCCCAGGGTTGCCCATTCCCGCCACAATGGCCTCTGGGGTGGAAGTCCTGCGCTTCCAGCTGCCTGGCCACGAGGCCGCTACGCTGCGGAACATGAACCAGCTCCGGGCTGAGGAGCGGTTCTGCGACGTGACCATTGTGGCCGACAGCCTCAAGTTCCGTGGCCACAAGGTCATCTTGGCCGCCTGCTCGCCGTTTCTTCGGGACCAGTTCTTGCTGAACCCCAGCTCCGAGTTGCAGGTCTCCCTGATGCACAGCGCACGCATCGTGGCCGACCTGCTCCTCTCCTGCTACACGGGCGCCCTGGAATTTGCTGTCAGGGACATCGTCAACTACCTAACAGCTGCCTCCTACCTGCAAATGGAGCACGTGGTGGAGAAATGCCGGAATGCCCTCAGCCAGTTCATTGAACCCAAAATAGGCCTCAAGGAGGATGGGGTCAGCGAGGCTAGCCTCGTGAGCAGTGTCAGTGCCACCAAATCTCTCCTCCCTCCAGCCAGGACCCCAAAGCCAGCTCCCAAGCCCCCGCCCCCACCTCCTCTACCCCCTCCTCTCCTCCGGCCTGTGAAGCTGGAGTTCCCACTGGATGAGGATCTAGAACTGAAGGCCGAGGAGGAGGAGGAGGATGAGGATGAGGATGTGTCGGACATCTGCATCGTGAAGGTGGAGTCTGCCCTTGAGGTGGCTCACCGGCTCAAACCCTCCGGAAGCCTAGGAGCAGGTCTGGGTATTGGGGGCTCTGTGAGCAGCCACCTTGGGGAGCTGGCCCAGAGTAGTGTGGCCCCCAGCGCTGTAGCTCCACCTCAGGGAGTGGTAAAGGCCTGCTACAGCCTGTCCGAGGATGCTGAAGGGGAGGGCCTGCTGTTGATTCCTGGAGGCCGGGCCAGTGTGGGGGCCACTTCGGGCCTGGTGGAAGCAGCAGCGGTGGCCATGGCTGCTCGGGGGGCGGGGGGCAGCCTGGGGGCAGGGGGTAGCCGGGGACCCTTGCCAGGGGGCTTTTCAAGTGGAAACCCTTTAAAGAACATCAAGTGCACCAAGTGCCCAGAAGTGTTCCAGGGCGTGGAGAAGTTGGTCTTCCACATGCGTGCACAGCATTTCATCTTCATGTGCCCACGCTGCGGCAAGCAGTTCAACCACAGCAGCAACCTCAACCGCCACATGAACGTGCACCGTGGCGTCAAGTCGCACTCGTGTGGCATCTGTGGCAAGTGCTTCACACAGAAGTCCACGCTGCACGACCACCTCAATCTACACTCAGGAGCGCGGCCCTACCGCTGCTCCTACTGCGACGTGCGCTTCGCCCACAAGCCTGCCATTAGGCGGCACCTCAAGGAGCAGCACGGCAAGACCACAGCCGAGAATGTGCTGGACGCCAGTGTGGCGGAGATCAATGTCCTCATCCGCTAGCAGGGCCAGGAGGCGGGGGTCCTTGGGCTGGGTAGGAAGAGGGCTCCTGAGCTTGGCAGAATTGGGGGGAATCTGGGTATCCTGGGAAGACATATACATCCTAAGGGAGAAGGGAGGAAGATTCTTTGGTGAGAAGACCCTGCCTCTTGGAGAAGAAAAGGATGGGACCAGAGGTGGGGTTCTTTGACAAGTCCAAGAGAATATTGGGTCTCCAAGAAAGATTTTTTGTAGAGGTGCATGGATATGTGGAGGGTGGGGAAAGGGTCTTACAGAATGAGAAAAAGCAAAGGCTGGAAAATGTTTTGGGTTTTTTTCTTTCTGGCTAAGGCTGCCTAGGGGGAGATTGTGACATTTCTTGAGGTGGGGCAGGGTGGGTGGGAGTTGGGCGGGGACTTGACAGGAGGCAGCTTACTTGCTCCCCTGTTTAGAATAGATCCTTGGGAGGAGAGAGCATGATAAGGGGGAAATGATTATTGAATCCCAGAAAAGGAAGGGGAGACAAGTTCTTGCATGCTGGGGAAGTTGGGACTGTAGGTAAAAGGCTCACCAAAATCAAGGGAGAACAAAATAAGGTGCCAGGTAAGAGAACAGTTGGGTGAGCATTCTGGGTAGATAACTGGGAAGTGGGGGTACAATAGCAAGAACAATGAATAGTGATGGGGTGGGGGCAGGGCACTTAAGAGAAAAGAGACACAAGGAGGGGCTGTTGGGGGGGGAGGGAGAGTAGTAGAGACAATACAGTATTTTTTAAGAAAACACGTATTTTTTAGGATTTT